ATCGCCATAGGAGTTTTTTAGGCCTCAGTTCAGATGTTAACATGAAGGATACTTCAAGAGTCATATTCATCACTAACCTAACTTACAACTTCCTATTACTACAACCATGGCAACAATGGAATGTTGAAATTATGTGATCTTCAATAAGTTTGAGGATGACGACTTTAAATCTTAACCCTTAGATTTAATCCAACAATGAGAGACAGTTTATCTGATGAACTACATTTATTATTGCATCCCCCAAGTCACAACAACCATCATGGAGCAAGAGACTACTAGGGACCCTGTCCCTGATGCTGATCCAAATTTGATATGAGTGAAATTACTGCTGAGACCTCTGGTCAGCGAGGAGTGAGGGCAAATAATGAAACAACTACTATATATACAACAGACAACGCAATTGTGTATAATGGTGAAATTCCTAGTAATACAAGCCTATACTTCGATTGTCCCTTCGGCATTATCTAGGAACTATGTAACTGTGAGATGTCACGAAAGCACTTGGAATTTCACTAAATTTCTATCCACAGTGGGTTCTTGATTCATGTATACCTTTGAGATAATATATCCTACATCATTTACCGTGGAATCTTACTGCATATAATCATATAATATATAATAATAGCACACACTAATATTAATATATATATATATATATATATATATATAATATACACTATATATGTCGATGCTGAATAGGCACAGAAACTTTAGGCGATCTTGCACTAAATGCCAGCAGCGCTCATCTTGACCACATATACGAAGAAAGCGAAAATTTGTGTATGCAATACTTTCGGCCAAAATCATTCTAAACCTAACGAAAAAAAATAATATTTTCACTGATGGTTTACATGTATTAGTATTAAATTATTGTAAACACTAAATCTAAAAACATATATTAGTTGGCGTTCAGGCCTAAAATAAATTGCTATTACTTGTTATAATAAGTTAAGGCAAGTTTCTAAGATTTTCTTTTGGACGCGGCAAAATTAAATTTATTTACATTCACCATTAATGAAAAAATATATCTTTAAACGTCTAAGCAAAAAATTAGAAAAACGAGACTTAATTTTAAATGAGTTATTGCTAATTGACCAGTTTTTACAACTATTCGGCACGACAATATATAGGTAGCTGAATGGTTCAGAGAACCGACACGTGATAAATTAGACACATTTGCAACTCTGGGTATCCTTTTATTGAGGAAACTTCGCCCTACAACAGTGCCTCATCATACCATACAAAGAGAAATACTTGAAGAAAACATGAGGAGAAATGCAGGGTAATCAGATCCTCAACCTTGACAGTCGATGTGAATCAAGCCCTTCAAAATTCTCCTTTGTATGGACTGACAAAGCCACCTGTGCTGGCGAAACGTCTCCTCATTACAATATCTAAGAGAGGTATTGGCCCAAGAGTTGCATCACTGTGTCTGATTTATCATATATAATATATATATATGATATAAATCACTCATATATCTATTATAATATATATATATAGTTATTACTATTATCATATTTTTTTCATCAAAACCGGCCGTATCCCACCAAGGCAGGTGCGCCCCATAAAAAGAAAAACGCAAGTTTCCTCTTTTTAAATTTAGTAATTTATACAGAGAAGGGGTTACTAGCCTCTTGCTCCTGGCATTTTAGGGTCCGCCTCTCTACAACAACGCATGTGCATAACGGAAGGCACAAGAAATTCCTGTTTCCACATCCCCAATGGAGAGATAAAGACAGGCAACATAAACAAACGCAATCAAGAACTCAGAAAAGACACAAAAGAAGATAACCCAAGGAGGGTGTGTCATAACAATGCTTTTACACGTAATGTGTAGTGTGACCCTAAGTGTAAGTAGAAGCAGCAAGAACGTACCCTGAAATCTTGCATGATTTATGAGACAGAAAAAAGACACTAGCAATCCTACACCAACACATGTAAAACAAATTAAACAAAGGTTTTCTCGTTTTTTACCCTCACTTGCAGGACGGTAGTACCTCCCTGGGCGGTTGCCTGTCTATCGAACCTATTACCCATAATAATATATCGGCAAAACGGGAACGTGACTCGAAAACCCTACAGACACATCGTATTGCAGTAGCTCTGCGCCTTGCTTGCCCCAAATTCACACAAGAATTGTACGTAGTATTCTGCGGCGAGCGCAAGCAGACCAATGACAGGTCTTACATGTGGTCTTAACTGTTCCAAAACCAAGGTCTGGCAATGCAAGAACACAATGAGGTCAACGACAATCATTAAGTAGAACCCTTGCTACAGCTTGAATGCCCAGCCGAGAGGAAGCCCTGATCACTAGCAGCCAACCCATACCCACCAAACCAGCAAACTGCCCCGACGGATCACCATCTATCCTTGAAGAATGGCAAGCACTTAGCATGGGACTATACCTTGTAGTCCCCCACTGGCTGACAGCCAAATCCATCACAGTGTGGGGCGACAGGGAGGAGCTGCTGACACCACAGGAGAGGTACAAAGAATCAACAGAATCACGGACATAAGGCAAAAGGTATCACTTTGTCCCCAGTGGAAATCAGAGACCTTGGGATCATGGGAAAAACATGCCATCACGTTTCCCTTAAAGAATAGGGTTCCAGATCTCATCTACAACCACCATGGACCCCAGGAACAGCCACTTCATGTTCCAGCGCCTCCACAGCGTAGCCATCCATAAGGGGAAAATCTTGCTGCATACTTTGGCTCGCGAGTCTGGCCACAGAGGACTGGAGGAAATTTCATGATCCTTTTATACATTGTGCCATTATGTATTTTCAATGTTTTATGTTTTTCTGTAAAAGGTATTCTGTTTACATTAATTCATGTTCACATAGTAATACAATACAGGGGGAAGGTAGAGAAGGAAAATATTTTCAAACAGCTCCGGAGAGAACCTTGACGTTTCCTGAAGGTACAACGTTCAATCTATTCTCTCGTAGAGGATGAGGGTCCCCAATTCCAGCACATAAAGTATTATTACGGTCAAACTTGTTAAAAATTCCCTCTCGAGAACTAAGATTAAAACAACATAAATATAGCATTAGAACTGGAACAAGATTCCAATGCTACTATTAATTCATGTAACGAACAGATTTTAACCATCCAATTTGATTTTCAAAAAGTTGAGAAAGTAGTTCAAGCAAGTCCATGGTCGAACAGAAAATTTAATGAATCTTGTTTCATAAAAAAGCCAGTTTAATTGACAATACATATGAATATTTCCTATTGGGTTTATATAAATTAGATCCATATTCAGATCTGTTTAAATGAATTTGGGCGAAGGCAATTAATCAATCTCACCATCTGACAGAATAATAACATTTTTTCCAAAATTTTCCCTTCTGGGTAGAATAGTATTTGTGCGGCGAGTTGTCAAAAAGGACCTAATCCAAGCGTTGGAGGCTCGGAACGCGCGTCAGCGTGTTTTAAAAATCACCGTTTGTGGGAATCTATGATAGTCGAGGTGCTAGAGGCCAGAACCCCCTTACTATAGCTCTCCTTGGATCTTTTAACTTCATAGTTCCCTTGATATGTGATAGTCACGAAAATGCGAGCGTTTGGAATTCATCCTCTAATTCCTTTCAAGAGCTTCGGTTGTTTTTGCATATAGATATATAAATATATAACCTATACTATATTAAATAATATATATTATAAACTAATCTATATTATATTATAAAAGTATATATAAACAATAAATGTCGTGCCGAGAATATGTAAACAACTGGTCCAAGATAACAAGAGCTCATTTAAAATTTAAGTTCCTTCTTCTCTTGAAATTTTCTCTTCTCTCTCTATAACTATTTAAGAATATACCTTTTTATCGACGCGATTAATGTTGGTGCTAAAATTTTTTTCTATTTTTGCAACAAAAAGAATCTTAGAAAACTTTACCTAACCTTAGTTATAGACAAGATCAATTTATGTTTCCTAGGCATAACGCCAACCTATTTTAATATTTAAGATTTGTCTTAGCAATATATATAACTACAAAACAAACGCCCAGTGAAATAACTCATTTTTTTTGAATGGGGGTAGGGGAGTTGTTTAGAATGAGTTAGGGGGTCGGGGGGAGAAACATTATTGGGGCTACAGACAAATGTTGTCGGTACGTGTGCTCCTATATGGCAACGATGAGCGAGCAATTTAAGGCAAGAATCAGCAAGTTCTGCCTATTCGGCACGCGACATATATTATAATAATATATATATATTAATATATATATATATTGCAATACGATCACAGTTACAACAATGAATTTTAAAATATGCAAAACAACCACTGTGAAAGAGCGTAGTGAAATTCCCCCAAGCGCATTTTCCGTGACTACTTGTGGAGAAATTTTCATCCAGCAGGGGGGTAATCAGCCCCCTTCACCAGAGAGCCCTTCAGACCTGAGGAGGGAAGGAGGCCACTCAGAAGGGGCGAGATCTTGTATTTTACTGCTAGAGTTAGATATGATATACACAGATTGCTATGCCCACGTAGTCCAAATGGACCTCTGCTACCTTGCAGCGGTGTTGCAAACGTTTATTACTTAATAAGAGAACAGTTACATCTCTACTTAGCAGGACAATTTAAGAAAAATCCTGCTGCCCACTATATTACCATATAAAATATTGTACATTTGTCTATGATTAAGACAGCACGAACAAACCATTCCAGCTCATTTGCTTCACTCGAGCGCGGTTGACAAGGTATGCAACGTACTAGGTCAGCGTTTTTTTTTTTTTGTGCTGGGGGGCAGTTGACTGCATGGAGCACTTGTGGCGTCTGGCAGACTACTTTGAATCTATTATGAAGTGACACTGAACAGAGCTAGCGATAACCAGCAAAGAAACACTGACGTGCAGTTAGTGTGAACGAAGTGTCTCTAACCACAAACACTTAATAGAAGTTGTCAGCTTCTATTGGATACATTGTGAACAATTAAAGACAAATCTTGTCTGGAACATAGTAGCGTACCAAGTGTGCGTTTCTAACAGACAATGGAAGACGTTGACCAACCAAGGAACACTGCAGCTTCTATCAATTCCACCGATATCTATGTCCGAAGCGTGTTGAGAACAACCATAGCTCTAGCCCTCACGTTACCAAATGAAGCAAGTATGTTACGATTTCTTGAGATTGAGTATCGGGAGATATTGCGTAAATTCATTGAGTCACAAGTGAGCAGTTTGTACATCAACCTACTAATCGCATTAAGGTTGTGGACCTTTTGAGTCCAAAACAAGTATTTCGCTCAGCCATCATACGAATGAAATTGAATGCGCTGAACATAACACCCCCTAGGGGTAAATTTATACTTACAAATTTGCTATCTCCCTTGACACCCCACTGCTTGTATGATGGTATTCTACAGCTTCTAGACCTCGTAGCAGGGGCGGCTGTGTAGACGTATTTTGCTGTCATTTATCAGCTAAGTGTTCATTATATAAAGTTATAATAACTCGCAGGTAAGGCCAGAAGAATCCAACAAGTATTGGCGTCGTAGCTCGAACCGAGGATACGACCACACTGATGGTCCAAATATGTATGTTCTACAGTGTACAAATAACCTATGAGAACCAAGGTCCCTTCAGAAAAAAGCTGTAAAAACTAGTGTTTTTAAACAATATACATCAGTATAAATGAGTCCACTCCCAACTCAATCACAGATGAAGTAATGGGCAGACCAAAAGAAAAACGCGGCGCTACACCCCAAGCGTTCACACGCAACGAAAACGGGAGCATAGGGTGACCCCTCGCCCAACAAAGAAGACGGGGGAAGGTATCCTGCACCCTCCATCAACTGCTACCAATCTTGAAATCGCTAGATTAAGACAACACCCAAGTGAAGTTGTTTGAGTGTGAATATATATACACCAAAGTGTTATTATAATGTTATAGACCAGAAATTAAAGACAAGAATTGTGTAAAGACTTTGTTTCATAATAGATCTCTACCTGTTATATTAAAGGAACTTATACCTATAAAGTGTAAGCTTTCAAAATCATATCTTACCACAGTCAAAATTTATATAATGTCGTAAGTAATATTCACGTGTGATTACAGCGTTATACAGTGACATTTATAGTGTATAGTGAATGCAAACGTATACTATAACATCGTTTAATTTACGGATAATCATCATGGTCAGGCTGACACCGGCAAACTCCTAAGCCATAAACACACAGACACATTGATACCCAGGAACCCTTCAAAGGTCATTGAGAACCCTGAGGTTAAGCGTTAGTGGGATACCAGTAAGTGTACTGACTCATTAATCGCTTGACACTAAGCATAACAAACAACTCAGCATTTAATAGCATACAGTAGTTTTAATAAACACTCTAAGTGGTGATGCTAGGAATTTTCAAGTATACCATTAAATGGCTTTGTTTTCGAAAACTCATGGTATTTCAGATCCTTTAAACAGAGACTAAGAATTACACAATTAGAAAAAACTAATTTCAGATCTGTCCCCCTCAGGATTAACTCCAAGATATAACAAACATAGAATTTATGATGATCCTTTGAGTCAAGATTTTCGCAATTATTTACACACGCATGGAAAATAATTAAATCAAGACTATACAACATTATGAAAATAAATTTCTTGAATCCAGATCCATCTGAGGATGCAAATTAAAACTGTTTTGAGAAGGATATTAAGCTTTTAGTTGACATCAACAATTAAGTGATTGGACAGGATGAACAGGCTATCTGCCTGTAAAACTCTATCAGTCCGACCAAGAGACCTACTATAATAGTGGGTGCAAAAACTCGCATGTATACACCTGTAACAACAAGTGTCCCATTACCAAGTCTTTATCTACATTGTCCATTACCTATTTCCAAGGTCATACACAATTAATGTGAAGAATTCATTAGTGAGGCTTATTATCAATCCCGAAAGCTTAAATTCACGAACTGACATAGAGACTCGAGTCTTGCTAATCTCAGATTACCTTAAAATGTCTATACTGTGAAGTGGGAGAACTCCAATGGAACTGAGTATTAAAGTCATTCCGGTGGTTAAAGGTAATGTACAAATACCAATCATAATACCTAACGATGTCTCTTAGAGTCCAGACAAAATTACTATGATGCTTGGACGACGGCTAGAGTTAGACAACAAGTACTTAATCAAACGAGCTTGAAAGCCACCCAAACATTGTTTCTCAGACTTACAGGCATAAAGAATACAACATTAGGACAATATCACAGATCTCTAGAATGCTAAATATGACCTTAAGACAAAGTGATTGGTTTTTCCAGTGGAGTATTGTAACAAGAATAAGTTGTCACCCACAAACTATTGAGAAAACATTAAATATTAGATCAAAATAAACGAGCTATTTCACTTGTGAAGAAATATTAGCAATGGATTTACAAACAAATCAGTTCTTCATGCATGCAAGCAACGAAGACAAAGACATGAAAAATCCTCACAAATCCTATGGATATAAACCTTCAACTCAGTATAAAAAGAGTTATACCTACTCCCACTATACAACAATAATGGGAAATCCCATATAGGCATTATCAAGCTGTGAATACAACAGATGACATGAAACGATAACTGTCCCACATAAAAACGTCTACTCCAAAATGTGTACTCTTGATAGGAACCAAATGGGCAACCGTATAATGTAGTCAATACACCATCAATAGAGGCAGCAGAGTAAACATACGTGTTCATGTATCAGCTATGGGAGGGAAATAGTTAAATGCATCAAGTGTTTTAGTGAACACAAGGGATGAAATGCTCAGCTGAAGAAGTTGTTTTACAAAATGCTAGAGGATATGCATCATACAGCATTATGCGCCGCAATACTTCTGAACTTAGGGCAGCAGACTTTCCACAAAATCATGGAAGTCAACAAGTCAACAAGCATTAAATCTGAGAGATAAGTTTAAGGCAAACGAGAGCTCTCACTCTCCACCTCCCAATAGACCTCGAGTGAAAAGGTTTTATCTCAATAAAATTTACACAAAACCAATGTGCTAACACTACTAATTTGATCAAGGCTCACAATGGTACCCTTCATAAAAGATCAGTGTTGCAGAAAACTGAATAAACAACCCTATGCCAAAAATACAGTTTAGATATAGGCTGGTTCTTTTTCCCACAATTCTTGGTAAACAGACATATACCTAGTCACAAGAATCACTGTTGGTACTAGAAACACGTAAAAATACAGTAAAGCTGTGGTCTAGTTAGATGATTTGCCTAAGTCTGTGAGCAGATCCAGGATTAACAAGAAACCAGTTTCAGCCCCCACTTGAAAAGTCAGCTAAGAGGTCACGTTAGGCCTGTGCCTGACATCAACAGAACGGACAAATTATCCAATTGATTTTAATACATAATGGAATGATTATTATCACTGTTTTGTGGCAAAATCTAGTCAGTTAAACATGATGTTCACTTGCTGAAAAACAGCAGGAGGGCCACATGATATGTGTCCCATTCCCTCTCTCAAAGTGGAAAGAATGCTGATATGATTCAGTGGTATAAATGTACTAGTTTACCGTAGAATACAACCGCTGACCATAGAAAAACCACAGGCCCCCAAAAATTATATTACTGGGAAGAAATCGAATGAACCCAGTTTGAAAGTTGTGGGATTTAGATCGAATAGGGTATAGATGTAAATAACCAAGCCCACAAGAGTCTCAGACTTATAACCAATATTAGGACACTGTCAAATATAAAAAGATGGAACAGTATTGGGTTTAGGTTTACCATGGAATTATATCCACCACATCTGCCTAGCAATTATCGCATGTCTTTCTGGACAGATGAAAGCACAAATACATGAGCCAGGAAGAATCCAGAGCTACTGACTGTCTATATGATAAGTATCATCAAAGGAACAGTTGGACACTAAATTCATTGAGAAATAGTCGAAGAGATAAGTTAAAGACAAACGCTCATTATCTCCCGCACCATGGAGTCAGAAAAGAATCCTGAACCACTCCACTACGTGTTTGTATATAATTGCAGCGCACGTGCAAATAAAGATGTAGCAAGTCTTAAATGACTGTCTGATTGACCGACCCTCACTAACTGTAGGAGCTTCTGGAGACGTGCTTATGAAATTATATCAGCACAAACCCATATGCTCTACACGGCCTGAAAAAATATTTCCAAAGCTTTCTTAAGAGTCTAGGACTACAAGAAATAGATAGACAGATTATACTCGATTCTTGTAGGCCCTGAAAAATCCACATGATCCTCAAAGTCCTGTGAAAACTTATCGTTTCAAATCAGTAATTAATTTGGAGTGCAAACACCTCTCCATTCTTATTATATACTACTCTAAATACACATTCTGAATAGAAATCTGAAAGTCCCTTCAAAGAAGTCATTAAAGAAAAGTTTCTAGTGGGACAATCTTCAGGTACTGTGAATAAGAGGAGGATTGAATCCTTATACAGAGAAGCTACAACAAGGAAGAAAGAAGCAAATATACTCTCTAAGAATGTGGAATACACATTCAAGCAATTAAGGGAACTTATCAAAGAAGATTTCCTGAAACTGATAATTTCCTGATTGCAAACAATATGCTGGGACATAACTCGAACACACAGGAAGATATCTTTGAGTCCTCAAAAGGAATAAACCAATAAAGTTCATGTCCGCACTCACTAAACGTAGTTTACTGTCAGAGGTATCACAAATTGTTTACTGATCCCCTAGGACTTCGTCTCAGCAATTACCATAAAGGTTCTATAATGCTTATGACAAGAATGCATGGAAACTCAAAATTCTGGATGGGATGAGAACCTTGCCTCTAGAAATGACTCAAGCATGGGATGAAATGTATCCAAGGATATAAACACAACTTCATCAAATTAACTTTCCCAACAAATAGGTCAATGAGGAAACAAGTACCATTACATTATGTTCTGTGATGGCGTCAACCAGAGGTAATGGCGCTGTAGCTTACATGAGTAAATGCTTAAGAAGTATACACTAATTACTTCACAGGCCGGCGGTACGCACCCGCTTGAAAGGTCAGAACAGTACCATACCACAATTGGAACCTGACAACACTCTATGTAAGGTACAAAATATATCTGTCTATCTCAACAAAGTACTTGAGATCGTCTCACTATTGAAAAAAAAAAAGGAAAAACCTGTGAATCTGGAGTGATAATGATGCAGTTCTCCTGGTTCTGCAAACAAGGAGTGGCTTACTGGCGTGTCTGGGGTATGATGGCCCAAATACAGAGAGAGGTGTGTTGACCCATCACTGTTCCTCTAATAATAATAATAAATTAATTTATTATCTCCTTGTAAATAAAAATGTTATGCATTGCAGGTGTTTTACCATCGTCACTCAATAATAATAATAAAATAAATTTTGTTTTCTCTTACAACATCTCCGTTTTCCCCACCAAGGCAGGTTGACCACCCGGTGGTAAAAGAGATACACTTTTCATCATCTTTACTCCATCACTATTTTGCCATAGGCGTGCGACGACTACTGTTTAAAAAGCTTGCAACATGTCCCCTCCCCCCCCCCCTCCTTCAGAACGCAGGCAACTGTACTTCCCACCTCCATGACACAAGTCCGCTTAACCGGTTTTCCTGAATCCTTTTATAAATGCTAACTTGCTCATATTGCCAACAGCATGTCAAGTCATAAAACCATTTGCCTCACTCCGCCTCCTATCACTCACGTTCAACGCACGCTTGCTGGAAGTCAAAGTCCCTGCCCACAAAAAACCTCCATTTTTTTTTTTTCCCCCTTCCTCGCAACCTTTCCTAGGGCCGAACCGCTGCCACGTCAGATTTATATGCCTCGAAGTCCTTTTTATTTGGTTCCCATCCGTCCTCTACATGTCCAAACCACCTAAACAACCCCTCCTCAGCCCTCTGGATAATATTTTTAATAACCATGTACTCCTAATCTCTGAGCTATGGATTCTCTGCATGATATTCACACCACACATTGCCCCAGACATGACATCTCCACTGCCTCCCATCCATCCTTCTCCTTGTTTGCAACATTCACCACCATCTGCTCACAGAACCATATAAGAGGTTTGGAGCGTACCATACATTATTCTGAATATACTTCCTCTCTTGCTTCCATTGGATAATGCTCTTCTTTGTCCTCCACAGACTCCTCAACACTGCACACTCACTATTTTTTTTCGCGCATCGTCAAATTCTATGATTCGACCCGTCTTTCCTTTTATTTATATTATAAATTAGCATGTCTATTATTTTAATGCGCGATTTATAAGAAGCTTATAGATTAAATGGGTCATCGTCTGATTGCCAATAAATTTGATTGGTCGAACCTTGCGACAGTGTGATCACACAAGTGGACTTATTAATTTTAAACCCCAAAAATGATTTTTTTTCACAAACAGGTGTGATGTAGTCCAGCTGGGCTTGTGAGGTCTCTGGGGAGAACTAATTTTAACCAATATATATGACTCACACATACCTTGCCTTGGCAACGTCTGTAGCCACGCCCACGTCTGAGGATCCTTTTTGTTCTTGACGGCGTCAGACATAGGGCAGGTCGTTACAACGTGGTTGTGAGGGTGTCTTTGGGACCCACCAATAAAAGCCCAAGGAAGAGCTGAGCTAAGGAGATTCAGAAGCGGAGCTCTGCTGGAGTGCAGAAATCCTGAGGCAGAGATTGGACGGAGCCCTGCTGCTGGGTGCAGAGCTCCTGATCGAGAGATTCGAGCGGAGCTCTGCTGGGCCCCCTTTTATTTTATCTCCTATTTCTTTATATTTTTATTTAATGACTCTTATATACTTGATGAAGAGTGGAGGCGAGGCACATGTTAGTGAGTTTAGTGTCGAGTTTTGCGATGAGAGTGTCGAGGTGGTCACCATTGACATCTGTCTCATTACCTACCCGCGCGTCACTTCGCCTCAACCTCTCCAGCCAAATCACCCTACCTACTCCCTGCCGTACTGACCTCCCGTACATCCCATAAACCCAAGTAAATCATTCAAATCTATTACCCCCCTACATGACATGGGTCTAAGGCGGTGGTGGTTCTTCTATATTTTTATAGTAGGAACCAGTCCATGTCCTTATTTTTGACCTGCTGCTCGGGTTACACTTCTTACGCTACCAATTGCTACCACTTTTTCTTTTTTTCTTGTGTGGTGTAAAGTTAAAGATAAATATCAGTGTGATATTATAATCCTAGTGCTTAACTGACCTTGTTTTTTTTTTGAAGGTGGTCTGAGTAATTGTGTGGTTTGTATTATTAATTTGGTGGAGTTTGTTGTTGGTTTGAGATAAATGGTGGATTAATATAGTATTTGGGTGAGACTTTTTGGTGAAGCAATTACTGCTGAAATTGAATATATACAGAGAACGAGAAGTCACCCACCCCACCTTGGAAGACTAGCCCACCAACTGTCACCCATTGAAGAGATGCCCTATGATTATTTCTATCCACCTGATGTGCACAGTCACTCAGTTTGATGTGCCCCAGTGGATGCATTTGCTCCCTGGTCTTCATCCAGTGTAGTGGGTGTCTGTCACCCAGGTCTCTGTTACTAATCAACCCGCGGACCGCCATTTACCCCGCAATGTTGCCAGGGAGATGGGTGACCGCACCTGCTGTTGATGACCTGAAGTGACCCTCACCTTCACCTTGAAGCAACTGACCATGAGCCTGCCACTGCTGATAGTCGGCTGCCTGTGATGCTGTTCTCTATGCTGTGGCTGTGCTGTGGATGCTGTCTGCTATGCTGGGAAACTGTGCCGGGATGCTGAGATGTGGGACCAGTGCTTGCGATGGCAGTAGCCAATTGCTGTGATGCTGCGCTGCTGCCTAGCCTCAGGAGGAGATGGCGGTGATGCCCTGCATGTGTGTATGAGGGATCCTGGTGGTGTGCCAGGACAGTAGATCTACTATAAGGAGCTGCCACCTCGGAGATGTGGAAGGACATGAGCCGCGGAGATGGACTCCAGCTGCTGGGACCAGCTGCTATCAAGGGCGGTATGGAGGTGATCCTGCCTTGCTGGTCAAACCTGTACGATCGGTATCGAGGGGATGGCCCCTGCCAGCGATGAGAGACAATTGAGTGTGAGATGTCCCCAGCCTACTTTGACCTTGCCAGAAGTGTTAGTCTACCCACACACAACCCACTGTCCAATTGATCAACGAGAAATAAGGTGACCTATGAATACGGTCCAGTGATTAAATGGCCGCCTTGTTTTATGTGAGGCCAGTGAAATCCTAGAAGATGGCATAGGATAATTGAGGGTCTTAGCTGCTATGCCCGCCCTGTACTCGATTTTCAGATGATTGTAGTGGCACTCATGTGAAGTAGTGCCGACAAATGAGCGACCATTGGTGGTCGTGAAATGGTCCCAGTTGCGCAGTATAACTTGACAGAATGCAACCCGTTGGAGACAGTTTCCCCACTGCTCCACAGAAGCCATAAGAGAGGTTTGGCCCAATGCTAACGTGCAGGGTGACTAGCATTGGCTAGTGCATTTCAAAGTAGAATATGGGAAGGGCACAGGAGCCCGAATATTGAGGTTTAAGGAGAAATGACGGTAAAGGGGCTTTGCACCAGAGAGGCAACTATTATGCTGGATCAACTGTGCGAAGGTGTACTGATTACGCTGCTTGTGGTAAGATGAAAGGTTGAGGGAAATATAGTAGTTGAATAATTTCTTGTATTAGTATAAAGTTTTAGAGTCTTTTGTATTGTAATAGATTTAAGGGCATTAAGGATTAAAAAATAGTCTAATAACAGGGCAAAATTGTCTATTCCTCAGATATTTTACAAATTGGGAGCTGCAGAAAGGGCGATGTGATGTACAGTATTCAGCTGGGCCTTGTGAGGTCTCTGGGGACAGAACCTAACTTTATAACCAATTATATGGTCACACACCTTGCCTTGCGCAGAACGTCTGTAGTCCACGCCCCTACCGGAGCTCTGAGGTCTTTTGTTTTCTTCTGACGGCAGGCGTCAGACCTAGGCCAGCTCACGTGCCGTACATGTGGTTTTGCGTCTGGAGGGTGCTTTGGGACCACACCATCAAAAGCCCCAAGGAAGAGCATGCGATCAGGATATTTCGAGCGCGAGCTGCTGCAGGGGTGCAGAGCCGCTGGCGGGCCAGACCTTCGTGAGCGGAGCCCTGCTGCATGGGGTGCAGGGCTCGGGAGACAGGCTGCATGAACGTCATCCTGGAGGAGCACTGTCTTGGAGGCATGGGCAGCAGAGTACTCTGGCTTGGCGACAGGTACTCCGTCGCTTGTGATAAGTTCTTGGACTAAACAAACTCGGAGGTAATACATTGTTAGGGAACCAGGAGTGAATGAGCAACAGAATGTCTAGTTAGTTGTGACCAGACACATACATTATCCTTCCCTCTATTTTTTAATTTAGCGTCAGTAACACTGCAGCAACAACCACCCTTACACACATGCTAATGTTACTACCCTGCCAATGATAAATGCACCCTATAAATTGTGTCTGTCATTTTCTCGACCATAACAGAAACAGTTTAACTTATTTAGCACTGCTACGTACACCTGCGAATTCATTACTCGACCTTTTTTCGTATCGTCAGTAAATTTACTCACTTCACTTTTAATTGCATCATTAAATTCATCAATTTAGATTATGAGCAACAATAGGACCAAAACTGATCCAGCGGACTACACCATTTGTAACTGTTCCCCATTATAACTTGACTGCACTCACAGGTCTGGATATAAATAGTATACAAGCTCTTAGAGACTTGGTCAACACCACTGAAATTATCACCACCACCTGAGAAACGGTTATAATCATAACCGTATTTTTTAAAGGGGTGGACGGGAAAGGCAGCGGAATGCCTCGGTCAGATGACCTGAAGCTCTAGCTTAGCTGCGGGTCATCATACGACTAAGACCCGAGTCAGGAATCACTTGGAGAAGTGAGGTGAAGGGAGGAGTGGTGGCCACTACCAGCGACTGCCATGAGCAAACAACCTGTTAGACACCAACAATTATTAGCCAAAAAAAGCAACACTTTTCTGTATTACTGTGAAATATGAATCATAGAAGTGCGATGAACCAGCGAGTTAAGTCACCTGAGGCTAGGATCAAGTGCTGCCAGAAGACACAATATTTTTCTGACAATCAAACATTAGTTTGATTATAATACTTATTTACGTTTAACGATATATGTCACATAATGTAATATTCACGATGCTATAATTCTCATATAGTAAGTTTCCAACATTAGCTAAATATTAAATAAATATGTTTTCTGCAACATATCACGACTACTCAAAGAGGCGCCGAACTAAGCGTCTGCTTAATAAAAAAAAAAGTGACTTAAGCAATATATATCAATGTAACGGTCTATGTTATACATTGTGGAGACTGTGATAAATCCTAACTGGGGAAAACTTCCAGGTACTTAACCACTAGAATCAAGAAATACAAATATACGTGCCAGAGTTACACATGCACAGTTTATCCTAACACCTGTAGCTTCCCGATGAACATCCTTGAAGCAAATTTAGTTATAAACATAGACTGATGTTGACGACAATGTCTGGCATCAGCTTTATATTTAACTACCAACACCACTTTACAAAACTTGGAGTTTTCCCTGTCTCAGAGGTTTTACCAAGGTTTATTCTACCTAAAACCGACAGACATCAACTGAAACTTCGCCAACGTGCAGGCGACCTCGCTATTCTCCGCAGACATCCTCGACTTTCTTTACACTTCACAAACCTCTCCTGACCAGCTATATAACTTCATTTTAATCAATCAATCGAGCAAAGCTTTACTGCATAACATGCAGTACAGTATAAACACTATAAATTATACAGAACAACATAACACTAAACAAAATGATTACACAACAATGAGAACTCAGTATAATGTGGTTGACAACTATATAATCTCACCTCGTTGGCTCATGCCTCTGTAGTCAACGTATTCTCAACTTTGTTATTTTAAAAAGCTATTGCAGTATGTTTTAATGAAAAGCTGAGGAACCATAAAAATGATATCCATGCTTTACAAGTGGGATGAGAAAAATAAAACATACAGGTTCTTAGTAGTCAGTAATTTAAAATATCAGGATTGTAAGTAAAGTATACAATGTTTGAGTAAAAAAAAAAAAATCACGATTACTGCTATTAGTGGGTAACTAAAACATTTCTCAAAGCATTTAAAAAGGCAACATTTATTATGCTTAAATATCTATAACTAAAAACTTAATGCGTGTTCCAGGGTTACAAACTATAATCTGGCATGAAGTTTGCTTTAAACAAAAACAAGTGATTCAAAATTAATAAATTAGAAATGTCTTCAAGCAGAATCTTTCAAAAACATACATAGACTCCACTTCCTTATTATCTAACAAATCAATTTGTTATTACCTAAATAGTTAAATTGCTCGACGACATCATACTGGCTTGTAATATTACCCAATTTATTACTTATTATACTTTCAATATAGTGTGTGTGTGTGTATATATATTATATATATATATATATATATATAATATATATATATATATATATATATATATATATATATATATATATATATATATGCAATAGATCACAGTGAACAGGTGATTTCAGAATATGCAAAACAATCACTCTGAAAGAATAGAGAAATTCCAAGCGCTTTCGTGACTACTCACATTATCAAGGAACTATCAATGTGATTAGTCACGAAAGCGCTTGGAATTTCTCTATTCTTTCAGGTGTGGTTGTTTTGCAATATATATATATATATATATATATATATATATATATATATATATATATTATATATATATATATATATAATATATTATATATAATATATTTGGTAATTTGTATCCTTAAATAATGCATTACTTCCTCAAAACAATAAGTTATTTTTTGCAAATGTTTATTTACGTCAGCCAAAAGAACAAGAGTATCGTCCGCTTATGCAATGATATTTACTTTAAGAGAAACCTACATCCCACTGCCATACAAGCTGCTTCTTGAAGCACATTAATACATAATTAATATAACAGTGGTGAGAGGATGCCCCCTTGGTGAATGAGACATGTGCAACACGTGGATATCTTTACTGCCGAAACGTTTCGCCTGCACAACAGGCTTCAACTGAATCGAGACGAATATAATACTAGAGGCAGCAGAAGAAATACCTTTGACGTGATCAGTCCGGAAGCCTTGATAGGAGGCAGATAGTCCCTCAAGAGCTTTCTACAATGACTGTCAAACTGAACATGTCAAATCTATTTCTTCTAATATCTCGAGTAATATATTCGCTTGTTTTGGGCTGAAGAATCCTGCTGTACAGTAGAAACATTTCGCCAATAAAGATACCTAAGTGTAGCACATGTGTCTTATTTATCAGCGTGACATTACTGCATATCATCAGAAACATAATAGGATACTCCCGTATCGAACAGTTCGTAGCTATTGTAAAATGACTGCCTCTCAGTGTCGGGGATACGTTTAAAGCTACGTTGCTAACAGGGCAGAACAACATATTCGGTTGGTGTTTCCTCTAGCGTCGACGTTGTTCCTGTTATGAATGTTTGCTACACGTTTCCTGCAGTCGGCGATAAAGTGAAGAGGGAAGTGCAAGAGTTTGAAAGCTTGTGTAATGAATTCACATTCCTCTTCGAGGAACGGCGGGCTGCATATCCTGTATTTCCTTGGAAAGGCTCGTACCAAGACACGTGATGGGAGTAAAAATGAAGCAAGTCTTTCTTGTCAGTAGGTTTTCTATATACTTTGAATAAGGGTCTATTCCTGCCTGTGTGGATTAACACGTCTAGGAATGACAACTGATTGTTTTTATCTTCTTTAAGGGTGAATTTTATGGTCGACTCCAAGGTGTTAAGGGTGTTGAGGATGCTTTGCACGTCCTGGCTCTTGGGCACAGTGGCCAAGATATCATCGACGTAGCGCAACCTGGTAACAGTCGCGGATGGTTGGCAGTATGCGATTGATTTCGCATACAGCCAGCCAGCACATACTGCGCTTATGGGTGAGCCCATAGCAAGACCAAACTATTGTTTATACTTATGTCCCTAGAAATCGAAGCAATTGTAACGTATACAGAACTCTACCGGGTCATCAAAATCCTTGAGTGGTGCGAGTAGGTCCATATCATCTGTGATCTTGTGGAGCGGGTCAATATTTTAATCATCAGGAATATTTGTATATAGCGCTGTGACGTCATAATATGCAAGTTTCTTTACCTATATATTGTATTCTTTATGCGATTTAGTAGATTACCTGAATGTTTAAGGTGCGCCTAGCTGATAGTTCCCAAGTCTGGAAAGATGTGTTGCCAATGTTCTTACTAGTTTGTGTGGTGCTCTCCACCGCTGAGTAATCGTTCTCTAAGCCGACCCATCTCACCTCTTGCATCTCTCAGGACTGAAGAAGCCACTTGTGGCGAAGCGTTTCCTCATTGTCTTCAACTGTGCATATTTGCCTTTATCCATATGGACAAGTATGCCTACTGTTGCGAAATTAGGAGACCCTAGGGTGTAAAATACTGGTCAGCTCACAAAAAAAGCGCTAAACAGGTGGTGAATACTGTTCATGACCTTAAGTTTGATCTTCCAGGGCGGATATAATAAATTGCCCATTAGAAAAAGAAAATTTATATGATCAGCGAATCCCGATGAGTCAGCATACTCATAGCCTACTCGTAAATACGCTATTATTTATGTACTCTCCACTCAAAAAACAGGCCAGGCACTTCCAGGG